ATTAAAATATATTAACAATTAGACCCAAGATCAGAGAACCAAAATTGTCGAACATTATTACTTTTCTCATATTGACCATTATTAATACCTATTTTGTACAGGCTAGTATATATTATTAACTATTCCAACCAGCAAGGTCTTTTATATTAACCCTTCAACTAAGTACTGTCTTTCTTATTGATCTGTCAACTTAGTACGGTATTTCATATTGACCTTTCAACTTAGTACGATCTTTCATATTGACCCTTCAACATGTTTCATATTGACTCTTCAACTTAGTACGGTCTTTCATCTTGACCCTTCAACTTAGTACGGTCTTTCATATTGACCTTTCAACCGATCTCTCATATTGACCCTTCGAATTAGTACGGTATCTCATATTGACCTTTGACAGTATTACTTATCATAGCCTATCTTATTAGCTTCTCCAAGCGTAATATCACGAAGGTGCGGTATTTAAAATACTACCCAACAACGTTTTCCGTTTTTTTCCAATCTATTCGTTTTAATTAGATTACTTGTTTTAATTAAAGCATATTATGTATATTTTGTATTTAAATATCCAACGTAATTACTTCATTTCTTATAATAATTAGAATACTGAAATTCAGACTGCCCACTTTCAAGTTTCAACAATATTATTAAAAAAAATTGCAGCAGTTGTATTACAACAATAATTAGTGAGGAGTGATTTTATTGCCCTACGTTATGTTCTTTCATTACCATTTTCTGAATAACAATTCTTAAAATCCGTATTTTAAATTAAGAAGCAATAATAAACTAACGATTGTCGTACTGTGATGCGTGTACTGTGGGTACTCGCGTCTCGCTTTATTTCGCTACCTAGCTGGTGTAGTACGTTATCAAAGAAATGTATCATGAAATAGTGTAACTAAATCAACAAAGGTTCCGGCTTATAATAACTAAAATATCAACCTAAAATATCAACGTAACTCGTATATAATACTCAAATTAAAGAAAAGTTTCCTATTTCAAAATATTATTATACGTTTGCATTTGATGTAGGGTATGCTCTAAAAAAATATAATATCAGTATTTTTACACTTTCGTAATACTATATTTCCTTTTAACGAAATATGAATTTCAACTTACGTTTATTCTCGTCGCCACTTGTAGAATGCTCAATAACACTGACACTAAGGTATAGTTACATTTAATCACTCCGTTAGTTCAGAGACACTGAATACGTCCGCTCGCCACGGCCGTTGACTGTCTAATGACCTCTCCCATAGATCACTGAATATATACTAGACAATCGAATAACCCCCACTACCTGTATACTACAATTTCCATATTGTGTTACATTACAATTCAATTTTTCATATAGTGGATTTCTTTTATTGAAGAGGGGGCAAACGAGCATGCGGCTCACCTGATGTTAAGTGACTACCGCCGCCCATGATCAACCGCAACACAAGGGGAATTGCAGGTGCATTGCCGGCCCTTTAGAAAGGAGTAAGCTCTTTTCTTGAAGGTCCCCAGGTCGTATCGGTCCGGAAAAATCGCCGGTGGTAAACTATTCCACAGAGAGGTTGTACGGGGAAGAAAACTCCTTTTGAAACGTACAGTGGTGGATCGCCAAGCATCTAGATGGTGTGGATGGTATCGGGACGTTTGCCGCGTAGTGCGTTCACGAAATTTGGCGGCTGGGATTAATCCGAACAATTCATCAGAGCACTCTCCATGGTATATGCGAAAGAAAATGCAAAGAGATGCAACATCTCTTCGCAGTGCCAGTGAATCGAGCCGATCGGAAAGCACTCCGTCGTCAAAGATTCGAGCCGCTCTGCGCTGGATGCGGTCAAGTGGAAGGAGCTGGTACTGGAGAGCCCCAGCCCAGAGATGGGAACAGTATTCCATGTGCGGCCGAACCTGCGCCTTGTAAAGTTGAAGGCGGTGTGCCGGCATGAAATACTGTCCCACTCTGCTGAGCATGCCAAGCTTTTTAGAGGCCAATTTGGCCTTCTCTACCAAGTGACCACAAAACTGCACGTGGCTCGATATGTCGACGCCGAGGATTCCGATACTTGCTGAGGCAACAAGGGGAGTGCCTTGAAACAGAGAAGATACGACAAAGGGTTTCTTTTTAGCGGTTAACGCGCAAACTTGTGTCTTCTGGGGGTTAAACTGGACTCCATTTAGTCGCCCTCAATCCGAGACTCTGTTCAGCAAAGACTCGACTTCAGACACAAGTTTGTCCCGACACTCAGAGACGTTTTCCAGAGAAATATTGGCTCGGCCAGTGTAAAGAGCATCACCAGTGCTGTCATCTGCGTAGCAATGAATGTTACGGGTTTGCAACATATCATTGATATTCAGAAGAAACAGCGTTGGCGATAGCACGCAGCCCTGTGGAACACCAGCATTAATAGGCTTGTAATCAGAGCTTGCACCATCTACAACGACCTTGATGTTCCGATCTACAAGAAAGCTGGTGATCCAATCGCACAAGTTCTCGGGAAGCCCATAGGAAGGGAGCTTCGAAAGAAGTGCTTTGTGCCAAACCCGATCGAAGGCCTTCGCAATGTCCAAACTAACTGCCAATGCCTCCCCCTTGGACTCTACTGCCTCCGCCCATCTGTGAGTTAGGTAGACCAGAAGATCACCAGCTGATCGACCACAGCGAAAACCGTATTGGCGGTCACTAATCAGCTGGTGATCGTCAAGGTACCTCATGAGCTGGCAGTTTACAATGGACTCCACTGTTTTGGAGAACAAGTAGGTGATCGTGATAGGCCGGTAGTTGGACAGGTCTGAGCGGTCGCCTTTTTTAGGGATCGGATGGACGAAAGCCGTCTTCCATGATTTTGGGACTACGCCTAGGGAGTAGGAGTACCGGGAAAGGCGCGTTAAAACCGGTGCTAATTTTGGAGCACACGTCCTCAGCACAATTGGGGGGATCTCGTCAGGCCCACTCGACTTGTGGATGTCCAGGGAGAGGAGTGCTTTGCGAACCGAGCGCTATGTGAACTGCACTTCCGGCATGGAGCACTCACACCGCGGGATGGTCGGCGGCGTACTCCCCCCGTCATCGAGAGTCGAGTTGGACGCAAAGAAAGAGCCTAGAAGATCGGCTTTCTCCTTTGCGGTATGGGCCAGTGAGTCATCCTCCCTGTGCAGAGATGGAAGAGATGGCTGACAGAAATTCCCCTGGACAGCCTTGGCGAGAGACCAGAATGCACGGGTTCCAGAAGGAAGGCGAACTAGTTTCTCGCCAATTCTGCCTATGTGCTCTGACTTTGCCTTGGCAATGACTCTTTTGAAGGACCTAAAGGCGGAATTATACTTCTTTTTTAGAGCGCTAGTGTTTACATCCCAGAACGCTGCGATGTAAACACCAGCGTCAGCGTTAGCCCAGGCTTGGTAGCACTCCTGCTTATAGCATGATGCTATTTTACAGGAGCGACCAAACCATGGCTGAGATTTGCCTCCAATGGGCACCACAGAGGAAGGAATAAAAAGTTCCATACCCTGAAGTACCACATCAGCGACAGAATTTGCAACAACGTTGGGATCGTACGGCGAGAAGTAAACCCGCCCCCAAGGGTAGGATGCAAAGAAAGACCTCATCCCATCCCAATCGGCTGACCTATAGTGCCAAACACGACAGCAGCCTGCAGAATGCAACTGCGATTTCAGCGTGAGTGGCACCACACTCCAGACAAGGCAATGGTCCGAGGAGCCTAAAGGGGCGTCGACGGAAATCTGATATCCATCCGGGTGAGTGGTCAGCAGAAGGTCCAACAGGGAAGGTGCATGATGCTCCACATCTGGAATCCGCGTATCCGCGAATAGAGGAAGTTGCTAAAATAATTGGTAATAGTACAGTTTATATCAACAGTATTGTTACATATTTAAAATTCGAATGTTCTTTTAAAAAAATATTCCACCCATCTATTAAATATGGACAACATAGTTGCGTCGCACTCGCTTCGGAATTGATTAATCAATATTCACGTAGGTCTGCTTCATGCCGTGTTCACGTTAAATTTGCTCATGCAGCGCCAAGTTAGGGCGTAATAAATTGACTGATTCATTAGCCTGAATACATTTTCTAATATTCGTTGGAATTGTTTCAATAGTTGAAAGTATCATTTTGATCAAAATTCAAAAGAAAAAGGAATATGGTACAGAACAAATAAATTGGATTAAAAATACTAATTTGTGTAGAAGTCATATTGTAACAGCACATATATTACGATTTGAGTACTATTCAACAGTAAATTTTATATATCTTATGCATATGGTTAATTCACCAAACTGTATTTCATGTGATATTGATGATAATGTACTACTATTATTGATTGAATGTGCATCAAATAGAGTAATCATTGGTCTAATGATAGTAAATGCGACTGCTGATTATGTGGTCCTAAAGGCTGTTTTTTTTTATTTTAATTTTTATAGAATAAGGTGACAATCGAGCACACAGTCCACCTGATGGTAAATGGCTGCTGAGGCCCATCTACACCTATCCTCGAATACGAATCAAAATGCAGATGCATTGTCACCCGTGAGGACTAAGATGGAATGTCTCTTTTCCAGTAAAAAGGGTCTCCAGTTCTCTCTACACTCACCATACGAAACACAGCAGCATTTAGCTACTATTTTACGCTGATATTCTGTGAGAGCATTGTCCTTCCCCGGTAGAGCCTACCCATTCATGCTACAACTATACTACCAATATAACTGCAGCATGACTCTACCACATATGGTTCAAATCTTAAATAAGACAAAAATCAGTTATTGGGTTTTTCTGTCAAGAAATCCTCAGTAGCAGATGAAATCAGGAATTTAGCGGTATTTCACATCTGTAAATTGTTAAGCATGTAAAGCTGATATTTGCGCCTGATCTCTCTCCAGTCGTGTCGAATTTCCGTCCCATTGGACTATGATAGCAAGGTAATGCAGATTGCACCTGTTTACTTATGCACACACTCAATTTTTGTTAAAATTGTATTATGCAAAATAAGTCATACCTCTCTGATCCTTCAATAAATCCCTGTCGCTGCCCAAGTGAGTGCCCAAGCAGAAATTGGTAATGGTTATTCGGCCTGTTCTTTGGTTTAATACTATATTGCCTAGCTTCAAGTCTCTGTGTACTATATTCCTCTGAAAATATAGTGAACATTTTGCTTGTAAGTGTAATTCAAAGATTCTAAAAAACTTACACAAAAGTACATATAGCTGACTTCTTCTTCCTTTATGAAACACTAACACTCAAGTAGTTCTGCAGTCTGTCAACATTTTTAGGTACCCTGTTTTTATATCAGATTTAATAAGCTACAAATCCGCATAAAATAACCAATTCCTATCAAGAATGATAATATGTGATATTATTGATATTAATAACTTCCCTGCAAAAACAAAACTCTGACAGTAAAAAAAAAAAAAGCACCACAAAAAAAAAAGAAAAAAAACAAAAAGAGGGTAAAATAAGTTAATATTAAATATAAAGTTTAATTGGACTACAATAGATAGCCAAAATCAAAGATTCATTAACATTGGATATTCTTATAGCCACATATTTAATACAATGATAATAGAAAAAAATCTCTGTCCAAAACCAGCAGCAAACTAAGTGTTTTGTCAGTTTTCTTCTACAGTTTTCCACGGTAACATTATACGACATAAAAGTAGGTTGTACAATTATTTATAAAATTTGTTTCCAGAAGTTATAATAAACTATATTACCATTTGTACTACAATTACCATTTTTATAAAACATGAATGGTGCTTTAGCCAAATATATAATATAAACCAGATGTAAAATACCATTCTTAACAAAGGGAAGCCCCTTTGTTAGGAATGTTATTTTACAGTCAAAGATTCAAGATGAGTAATGAGGTAATGCAATTGCTAATTGATTTATAAGCATTGTAAATCCAACTTAGTATGGTAGAATACCACACCAAGGAAAGAAATATTTATAGGCTGAAAAAAGAGAGTGAGTTCTTTTAAAAAGGTTTTTAAAACATACCTTATGTAAATTTGCAACAACCCTAACAATATCATAGAATATAAGCACGGCTTCCTTCTCTGGTACTTTTTTTACTTTTGTAACATACTGTTGAAGGTTAATCAGCTCACTACCCTTCTCGCTAAACTGGTGTGCAGTAACACAGTCTAAGACAAGGAATAATCTTTGCCGTACACGACCTGTGTACACAAAACCTGGACCATTGGGATTAGGAATTTCTTCAAGAGCATGGTCCTGAAAAAATTATATAAGACAATTAATACTGAAGTTTGTTTTTGTTTTGTTTCAGAGGTCTCCAAACTCTTAAGCCTAAAAGCCATATTGACTCCATCACTAAGTCCAAAAGGCCAAGACTTACCAAGCTCATCACACTGACATACTGTAGTTTTAATTATGCACAAATTTTAATTTCTTCAAATGCTGTGAAGTTAAATTAATTATGCTAGTTTGATAGTATGAACCTGCTGATACAATTGTTGTTTAGAAACCCTTCTTTATTTTTAATAAAAGTGACAATAAAATACACTCAATTGATATTTAGTAGTCATCATGCCCCATGCGGTGACTCCATGATATAAGATATATATAATCTAGTGGCCAACATAACTAGATAATATACCATGGGTCCTGAGTTTAAAATTTCAGCCAGAACCACTCAAATAAATTGTTAGTGTTTGAGTCTGATTGCATTTTGCTTGAAAGAAAGAACAAATTTATTTATTGCTACCACTTACATTAATTTAACAACAAAAACTAACAAAATATTAAGAAAAAAATAGATGGCAGCAACAAAAAATGCCACAGACTTAACATTATACTACAATAATAGTTACTGCAGAGCAGATATTCTGCTTGTTCCCTTATCGCTAGTACTTCATCCCAGCCTTTCTCCCTTCCATTAGTATTATATCAAGCAGATTAGTTGCACTTATTTTTGCAACACTACTTTTTTTTCTTAGTTTGGCAACTTCCAATGGATTCTACCAGTGTCAAGTATTTCATGAAAGTCACACAGAGTATTTGACTAGTTCCCGTTTTTGTAGAAATGCTTACTTAGCTTTATTTTACGAAGTCACATAGGTAGTTATTTTCGAATGAATTAACATATAATAGTTTTACAAAATTATTGCTAATATAATATATAATAAAATGGATATAGGTAAGTGACAAAAGTACTATAGTTTAATGTCATTAATGGATATGAAGTCTAATAAAGTTTGTACAAAAGGAGTGTAAACTAAATTTAACAAAGACTTAAGATTTATAGGACGAGGGATGTTATTAGGAAGAAAATTGTATAGTGAAACGGAGAGAATAGGGCAGTTAAAAAAACCACATATTGTGTGGCTTTACATCTGCACAGTTGACAGATCATTTACATTATGTCACTATAGTCCTAAGTTAGCCAGAACCTAATTATTCAATAATACATAATATTAATAAAATAATAACACAGTAGATAAAATTCCCATACCAATGTTAAAAAATAAAAAATTGGTATGTAAAGATGTTTATATTAACCTTAAAAAGCCCATGATGATGAATTACACCATCTTGATCCTTTAGAAGTGATAAAAGAGAATACTCTGTATGCAATAACATTTTTCCCTGTCGGTCATCTTGTGTCTCAGGCTGACCCTCATTCCGTAAAGTCAAAATTTTTATTTGATAAAACTCATCTGTTTTTTCTTTTCGTGCTAAACATTGCACTATACTCTTAACTGGACTGGGTCCAAGTTTAGGACCTAATAAATAAGGTCCAGCTTTTCGAACATGTTTTTCTGGAACTAGAGCTCCTGGAGGTGGAACATCACTCTTGTTATACAATATTTTAGACTTTCTATGAGAGTGTGGACCCAACTTTTTAGAATTTTTAAGCACAGAGCTTGATGAATTTCCGTAAGCTGATATTCTAGCGATCTTCGGACTTGGCTGAAGTAACAAAGGTCGAGTTCGTTTTCCATGATTTACAGTACTTTCTGGCCTCTCTTGATCCATGTCGTGTCACTTTCTAAACCGTTACTATAACACTTCCAAAAAAAATAGTTCTAACGATTCACACTATTATCTCTTGATATGCTAACTGTATAAAATCTGTATGTAAATAATCATAAAAAGTTTTTTCTAAATTCAGTTCAGCATAAGAACTTTTATTATTAATGTTAATCTATGTCTATGACAGAACTAGTGATGTTAAGATTATGGTTAAGATTTAATATTCGTAGTATCCTCTTAGTAGTTTGTGCCTTTAACATTTAAAGCCATTTAAAGTATTAAAGTCAATAATTATTAATAATTGAGTATCTCGACCGCTACTTTACCATCTAATCGACGCACTATGCCACCGTGTAGTCAGCACTATTCACTAAGCAAATCTTACGTCTAACCATTGTGCCTCGGGCTGGAGTTAGAGTATACGTCAGAGAGGACATCTGTTCTCGACGCTTCAGCAGTCTTGAAGATTCGTACCTGTCCATCCTTTGGCTGCGAGAAGACAGCGACAAACATCCACTCGTCTACGGGTGCCTCTATAAGTCCCATAGCGGTAATGCCAAGACATACTGACTCATTGATTACGTCCAAATGGCTACAGACGCCTTGCTACAGCAGATCCCATCCGCAGGGATCGTGATCCTTGGCGATTTTAACGCCCATCACGCCGAATGGCTCAGTTCACGTTTAACCGATCATGTGGGGAGATCTGTTTATGACTTTGCCATATGGTCTGACACAACTGATTACTTCACCTACGCGGATTCCAGATGTGGAGGATCATGCATCTTCCCTGTTGGACCTTCGGCTGACCTCTCTTCCGGACGGATATCAGGTCTCCGTTGTGCCCATCGTGGCTACTCAGAATATTGTCTATTCCGGAGTGTGGTGCCACTCATGCTAACATCGCTGTTGCATTCTGCACCATGTTTAGCACTATAGGTGCCGCCTGCCGTGTGCCCTTAAAAAGAAGTTTAATTTCGTCTACAGGTCCTTCAAAAAAGTCATTTTCAAGGCAAAGTTAGAGCATATAGGCATAATTGGCGAGGAACTAGTTCGCTTTCCTTCGGGAAGTCGTGTATTCTGGTCTCTCGCCAGGACTGCCCAAGGGAACTTCTGCCAGAGGAGCACACTGCCGACCACCCCGCGGTGTGAGTACTCAATGCGGGTTGTGAAGTTCACACAGTGCGTGGTTCAAAAAGCACTCCACTCCCTGGACGTCAACAAAGAGAGCGCGCTTGACGGAATCCCCCCAATTGTGCTGAGGACGTGTGCTCCAGAGTTGGCAACGGTTCGGACGCATCTTTTTCGGTCTCCGGTCTACTCTTACTCCCTAGGTGTAGTACCAAATTCATGGAGGAAAGCTTTCGTACACGTGATCCCTAAGAAAGGTAATCGGTTTGATCCGTCGAATGATGTGCAGATTCATGGTCACTTGGAAGAGAAGGCCGAATTGGCATCTAAAGAGCTCGGCGTGCTCAATAGAGCGAGACAGTATTTCATCTGTGAATCGCTAACCACCGGCGATTTTTCCGGACCGATATGACTTAGGTACCTTCAAGAAAAGAGCTTACACCGTTCTAAAATGCTGGCAACGCACCTGCGATTCCCCTGAGGTTGCAGTTGTTCATGGGCGGCGGTAGTCACCTACCATCGGGGAGCCGCATGCTCGTTTTCCCTTATTCTATTTTAAAAAAAAAGCAGTCTTGCACATAGATAATTAAAAAACCATAACCAAAAACAACAAAACATAAGCGCACTGATCACTTTAGTTCACTTTATTTTGCTCCGAAGCTTTGGTCGTACCGCCAATTCAATAGAGCCCCGATCGCGGCTGGCAGCGGCTTTAAATACACCTTTTTCACCGAAACATCCAGAATATTCCAGCAAATACGGACGCTGACCGACCAGGCGCAGAAAGTTCGAGTGTTCCTTCTAGATATCTTAGTTCTTCTGTTCGATACTAGATGGCGCTACTGGTAAAAATTTCAAGAATGGTAAGTTCCCCGACACTAGATGACGCTAGTGACAGGTACCAGAGGTTAACTTAAGCGCGCAACACTGCCCCCTCCTAAGACATGCTCGTGCCGAGCATTATCCGTCCCATAATAACGCGCCAGTCGATCCACTTGGACGATCTTAGGAAGTACCTCTTGCGCCTTTCTGTATCTGGTAGGTTACATCGTTGATCCTGGTCACAATCCGGTATGGGCCGTCCCATTTAGCTTGAAACTTAGGAGATTTCCCTTTGCTGCAGACTGGATTGTGCAACCACACTGCTGAACCTTCGTCGAACCCTTTGTCGTTCATTTTGCGGTCATACCGGGTTTTCATCTTGTCAGACATTTGCTGGCCCGATTGTCTGACGTGCTCATAAATACCATTCATTCTGTTCCGCAAGTCATTTGCATAATCGGTTATACTGCGTGAGGCATCAGGTGGTATCCCGCTGATCAGGTCTGTAGGCAGCCGTAATTCTCTTCCAAAGTTTGTGAAAGCTGGTGTCACTGATGTACTTTCGTGAACAGTGCTTCGATATGACAACAAAAACGGTTGTATGTGCTTGTCCCAATCTCGTTGCCGATTGTCTAAAACTTTTGCTTGGTACCTCTCCAATATATGATTAAATCATTCTACCATTCCATCAGATAGCGGGTGATAAGAAGTCATTCTTGTTTTATGAGTACCCATAACTCGGCAAGTTTCCTGGAATATTTGAGACTCAAAATTCCTTCCTTGACCGCTGTGAATCTCTAAAGGTACTCCAAAACGACATTATACTTCATGAACTAGTTTATGCAAAACTGTTGAAGCTTCTTGATTTGGAATGGCGAAGACTTCCGGCCACTTAGTAAAGTAATCCATCACAACCATGAAATACTTGTTACCGCTTTCCCTCTCCGGAAACGGCCCCGCCACGTCAATGGCTGTTCTCTCCCATGGTGCATCAACATTATACAATTTCAATGCACCTCTACTACGAGTCTGAGGTCATTTTACAGCCGCACAAGTTGTACATTTGCGAAACCAGTCCTCGACATCTTTTCGACAATGGACCCAGTAAAACCGTTCTCGGATCTTCAGTAGAGTTCGTTTAACTCCCAGATGGCCTACTGAACAATTATTATGGTACGGCTGTAGAACACCCGGTACTTTATCTTTAGGGACAACCATTTGCAAATGACAGCTCTCCCTGAACATTTTCCCATTTACGGCAGAGAACTCCATCCTGAAGCAGCAAGCTGTCCCATTGGGCCCAACAGCTTTTAGTGGTCGAGCTCATCGCTGAGACGTCGCTCCACTTGGGCTTGGGAGCACTGGCTTTCATCCATTGCGGAATCGGCTTAATGTCCGGATCTTCCTGCTGTTCATGTTGTAAGTTGTCTTTCCACTCGTTGCTGAGGTGGTTTGTCCTGAACATCCTCACGGATACCACTTCCTTACTCTCTTGCCTAGTACAATGTTTGCAATCTTCAGGAAAAGGTCTTCTTGACAATGCATCTGCGTTGCCATGAGATTTCCCGCTGCGATGTTCGATCTCAAAGTCGTATTCCTGCAGTAGTTCAATCCACCTCGCAACTTGTCCTTCTAGATTTTTAAACTGCAATAGCCATTTTAGTGCAGCATGGTCAGTTCGTAAGTGAAATTTCCGCCCCAGAAGATATTTGCTAAAATGCTGCAACGACTTTACCACAGCTAGCAATTTTTTGTGACACAATAGTTTCTTTCCGGTTTTGACAACGACTTGCTGAACTACGCTATCACAATCTCTCGATCACCGTTCCGTTGAGACAACACACCGCCGAGTCCTGTATCACTTGCGTCTGTGTCAACCATAAATTCCTTGCCAGCATCAGGGTACCCTAATATAGGTGTTTTGCAAAGACGGTCCTTGAGCTCCTGGAATGCGATATCGCAACTTTCGTCCCAGCAGAAATGTCGCTTTTCCTCGGTTAGCTTGTGCAGAGGTTTGGCTATATCTGCAAAGTTCTTCACAAATCGCCGGTAATAGGAGCACAAATCCAAAAATGCTCTAATCTGCGTCTTGTTTTTTAGAATCAGCCAATCCTTGACAGCGGCGATTTTCTCTGGATCCGTGTAGATATCTTCTTCCGATACTAAATACCCCAAAAAGTTTACTTGCCGTTTGAATAGTGAACATTTCTTCGGATTCAACTTGAGATTGGCACTCTGAATCTTCATGAGCACGCGTTCAAGGTTTTGAAGGTGTTCCTCAAATGTACGGCCTACGATGATGATGTCATCCAAGTAGACCAGACTGGCATCGCCAATTAGCCCGGTAAGTACAAGTTCCATCAACCTTTCAAACGTTGCTGGAGCATTGCACAATCCAAACGGCATTACTTTAAATTGCCACAAACCCTTTCCCGTCGAGAACTCAGTTTTCTCCTTGTCCTTAGGGTCAATTTCAACTTGCCAGTAGCCACTTTTTTAGATCCAGCGTGCTAAACCACTTTACTCCTGTAAGCATGTCCAGCGTGTCATCAAATCTTGGCAAAGGATAGCTGTCCTTCTTTGTAACGTCGTTCAGACAGTGGTAGTCAACACAGAACCGCATGCTACCGCCTTCTTCTTTACCAGCACCACAGGTGAACACCATGGTCTAGATGTTCAACAACACCATCCTTCACCATTCCCTCAATCATGGTTTCCACTTCCTTTTCACGTGCTACCGGCAATCTTCTTGGCCGATGACGGATAGGCAATTCTTCTCCTGTGTATATTTTGTGTTGAACTAAGCCAGTCTTTCCTATGTCAGCATCGTGTGATGAGGATACATCGGCATACTTGAGTAACAACTTCTTCGCCTTGACTATTTCTTTTGGGGATAGAACACTGCGACAGTCTTCCAAAAGTGTGGTCACTCTCGTTTGTGCATCCTTGCTGGGGGTCCCACTCGATAGATATTGGCACCGACGTAACCAATCCACTTCCTCACAAGTACCAACCAGTGTGCCTTTTTCTATAATCTATTCCTCGTCACA